GGTGAAGCAACACAATTTCAATTTGATACTTTGAGAACAGAATATGCACAACTTAATACTCTAGATGATCGAATATGTGAAGTAGCTATAGTTGATGAAGTAGATAGTATGCTAATTGATGACAGTTCGAAAATTGCTAGACTCGCAACTAGTATGGCTGGTATGGATCAGCTACACATAATATATCATGTTTTATGGAATCGAATTGTTTATCTGCAAGATAAAATTATTGAGATCAATGATAAAATATATTTGTTATATGGAAAAATCGGATTTGAAGAAGGAACAATGATTTCAGAGTATGCAAATGAAAAGGGAGATATTATTAAAATCTCTGATTTGAAAACGTATCTAGCATCTACATCCGATATAAGTCACATAGGACAATCTATTCCAGAAAACGAGGAAGTTGATGGATTTATAATGAAAAATTTTAAAATTTACATCAGAGATTTAATTAAAACTAGTATTAAAATACCAAAAAATTTTGTCGATTTTGTTAATACACAAATACCTAAATGGATAGATAATGCTATTATTGCCTTAAATTATCAGGAAAATGTACATTATATTGTACAAGAAAGTTTGATCAAACCAGTAGATTATTATAGTACAGGTATTGTGCAAAGTTCTACAAATTGGAGTGATGGTTTGCATCAATTTCTGCAGATAAAACATAATATTAAAATGACATCGGAGACTTTTACGACAAATTTTCTATCGAATAGAGGATATTTCACGAGATACGGTCCGAATTTGTTCGGTCTCACTAGAACACTCGGCTCAGAAAAAGCAAAACAAATCTTAGTCGATGTCTATAAGGTTGATCTTGTTATTATTCCTAATTTACGTCGAAAACAATATCTTTCATCGCCTGATATCGTAGCCATGAATGAAACTGAGTGGCTTGAAGAAATTTGTCGTTCTACAATGAATGAATCGAACAAAGAAAGAGGAATTCTTATTATTTGTGAGATCATCGAACATAGCATATTAATAACAGAAAAACTCCAACGAGAATATCGTTCGAGTGGAATAAAACTCTATACAACGAACAATAAGAATCAAGAGAAAAACATAGAAACAGTATATCCTAGTGAAATTATTATCGCTACTAACCTTGCAGGACGAGGTACCGATATAAAAACTGATCAAATTGAAAAAAATGGCGGTCTTCATGTTATTGTAACGTTTATGCCATCGAATAAACGTGTTGAAGAACAAGCATTCGGTAGAACTGCACGACAAGGTAAACGAGGTACTGGTCAGAGAATTTTAAATGCTGCTAGTTTAACACATAATAAAGATTTTGATACGGAAAAAATTACACAATTAAGAGATAGAATTGAAGCAAATATGTTAAGCAATTTTGAAAA